TATTCGAGATAACAAATCGTGGCACAATGTGTCGGTAGCACACATCATCATCATCAGCCTGCGGCAATCCACTGCTGGAAATAGGCCTCTCAAAAGGCGCGCCACTTAGCCCGATCTTCGGCTACACTCATTCAGTTTCTATTGGTTTCTATCAGCCACCTTGCACAGATCGTTGCTCCATCTGGTCAGGAGGCGTCCCACACTACGTTTGCCTAGACGCGGTCTCCACTCCATAACACATATATAATAAATAGCACACATGCAACTTATTTTATATAAGTTCTTGAACTTAACCTTTGAATTTTTTACTGAATTAATCTTTATGTCGTCGTGTAATGGCCGCGGTGCTTGTCGCGTCACGTGGTGTGGTGTGGACAGAAACGTCAAAACAAACGTCAATCTAAATCCGTAGCTAAATATTTATACATTTGTAGTCAATAGCTGTCAACATCGATTTTTGAGGGCCATAGACATAAGGCTAGGAATATTTGTATAGAGATTACCACCCGTGAGACTTGACCTAGCATAACAATTCCTGAAGGAGTAGTACATCAAACCTAAAATAAAACAATTCATTTACTTCGAGAACAACGCACATCGAAAACAATTTTCAGAGGCTGTAATTGAGTTATTAAAAAAGGGTACAGTTAAGATCTTTGAATGCAAGCGAAGGGTAGTCTATGTAGAGGATGATAATGAGCAGCGTGAAATAATAAAAAAAATACCATATTGGTAAAACATGTCATAGAGGTATAAAAGAGACAATAATGCACACAAAACGTACTTACTTCTGGAACATATGAATGTGACTACTGTTAGGTTCGTATACCTAATAGTAGCCACATTCATAAACTTTTTTGAGGAGTTTAAGCGCATGAAATATGACCGTAAATCTTTAAAACCTGAACTTTAGTTAACGCAAACTCAGAACAACACCACAAAAACGTACTAATGAAAGAAACTCTTAGGTTTTACAAAATAGATTTGCATATAGGCACTCCTCACAATCTAAATTCCATGGCACATGTCGAACGTTTCCACTCCACCCTATTAGAAATATATCGCTTAGCGAAATATGAAAGAAAAATTACAGATGCTGCATGTGTAATGATATATGCCATCATGTCGTACAACCAAACGATACACTCAACAACAGGCCTTACGCCTTTCGAAGTAGTGTTCGGTCATACTGACTCCTCAAGTACTTTTGACGTTGAATTTAATAAAAATTACACACAAAAACTATTACAAGAACATAAACGACGAACTCAATACTTATATGAATATTTAAACAATAAGGCCATTGACAAGAAACAAAGTATTAAAGAAAAAAGAGGAGGTAAGAAGGACTTTAACATTAAAACAGGGGACACAATATTTATAAAGGGCACGAATGTTAGGAGTAGTAAAGCTAAGATAATTTTTTTTTGGTGGGTAGGTGCTAAGTGAGTATAAGTAAAAATATAGTAAATCTAGGACAATCAAGTATATAAATGTACCTGTAAGTACATAAATCCACCATCATTGTTTACTCATTGTAGAAGCGTGCTCGTCGCGACCCCTGCCAGCCCTTTCAGGGCTGCAATTCTACACAGCTGCGCACCCATGCAAACGGGAGTTAGGGCGTCCCCCCAAGGCGACGCACACCAGCTCGTCCCCGTTGGTGTGGAATGCAGCGCGCAAAGCGGCGATGGGGACCGCCACCCGTCACGCACAGCCCGACACGGCGGAAGGCGGAGGACGGAGTGCAGAGTTGGCACGTGGAATGTTAGAGGGGGCATGAGAGATAAGACGAATGAGTTGATCGAAATAATGAAAGAAAGAGAATTAGATGTCGTGTGTATGTCGGAGACCAAACGGAAAGGCAGTGGTACTGAAGAGCTCCCTGGCGGGACGTTAGCTATATGGTCCGGAGTCCCGGAAAGCGAGAACGCCTGCCAGGGAGTGGGGATGCTGTTGTCGTCCCGGTTGGTCGATCTTATGACTGAATACAAGGTTGTGAACTCAAGACTTCTCTGGGTTCGCTTTAAACTGGGACTGACGAAGTTATTTCTTCTGGCTGTTTATGCGCCGGTAGCTTCGTCGTCCAGCGCTGAGCTAGAGGAGTTGTTGTATGTGGTGATTTGAATGGATGGGTAGGTATCGCTCGACCAGGATACGAGTCGGTGCTTGGAAAGGGCGATAAAAGGGTTAATGATGCTGGCAAACTTATACTGGCTGTATGCAAGGAAAAGGGTCTTCTTGTGACAAACACTATGTTTAATCACAGGATAATCCATATGTACACTAGCGAAAGAAAGAATGAGAGAAGTATGATTGATTTGTTCCTGGTGGATGACCGACTGCGAAAACAGGTGATGGATACACGAGTGTTCAGGGGTGCTGACCTGGGAACGGATCACTATCTAGTAATTACTAGATTTAGGGGTTTGTTCGCGGGTTGGCGCTACCGGACGGCAGTAACAGAACCACAGTCGGTCTGTCGCATCCGAAGCTGGAAGCTTCAGGAAGCGGATACTAGGGACAAATATCACACGAAAGTAGCCGAAAAGCTTGACACCATCGATGGCAGGAAAGAATGTGTGGAGAGAACATGGCAGAAACTTAGGGATGGAATGGTAAGTGCAGCGGAAGAAGTATGTGGAACGACAAAAAAAGGTAGTAATAAAAGAAGAGATGCATGGTGGAATGATGAAGTGAGAGAAGCTGTAAAAAAGAAGAAAAAAGCATGGTTAGACTACTTGGCCTCTAGTAACGATAAGCATATGAGAGAGAAGATGAAAGAAAGATATAAGCTGCAGAAAGTTCATGCGAAAACATTGATTGAGGAAGTACGTGAAAGGTGTAGAATAGAAGCGGACGAGAGGTTGTCGCACAACTTTAGGGAAAACTCCAAACTCTTTAGGAAAGAGGTTGGAAGGTCCCGGAGTGGTGCGACAGCCTTAAGAATGAACAAAGTGCTTTCGAGAACCAATGACGTCCTCTCAGAAAAATCGGACGTCATGCAGCGATGGAGTGAATTTTATAGAGAAATGTATGCGTGTCATGATCTTAGTGAAGGATCCGGGGGTAACGCCATGACTGGCACGCCAGACACGGACCTCGATGACACTGAGGTCATCAGCATGAAAGAGATTGAACATGCGATTCGAAGTTTGAAATGTGATAATGCTGCGGGACTAGACAGAGTTACTGCTGAAATGGTCAAGTACAGTGGGCCTCGCGTCTGGGACAGCTTTCGTCTGCTGTGCAACTTGTGCTGGCGGACGGGAGATGTTCCGGATGATTGGCGATCCGCGGTCATTGTGCCTTTATATAAAGGTAAAGGTTCACATTTTGACTGCGGGTGCTATCGGGCGATCAGCTTGACCAGTTTAGCAAGTAAAGTTTACTCGAAGGTTTTGGCACGTAGGATGCAAGAGAAATCGGAAAGATTCTTATGGGAGGCACAATGCGGATTTTGACCTGGTAGAGGATGCACGGATCAAATGTTTTCTCTCCGCATGATCACGGAAAAGCTTCTGAGTGTTAACCAGAGGATTTTCTGCGCTTTTGTGGATCTGGAGAAAGCATTTGATAAGGTTATAAGGAAGAAAATGTGGGAACTGTTGCCGGGATATGGTGTGGATGGGCGATTGCTAAGGGCTGTGCAGTCACTTTACTATGACTGTAGAGCCTGTGTGCGGGTAGGGCATGACCCACCGTGTTTAGCGTCCAAGCGGGCGTAAAACAGGGTTGTGTCATGTCTTCCTGGCTGTTCATACTGTATCTCGATAGCTGTTTACAGAAGCTAAAAAATAGTTGTTTGGGTGTGAAATTGGGTGACACTAAATTAAATTGTCTGTTGTATGCTGATGACGCAGTGCTTATTGCACCATCAGAGAACTGCAGGCATTAGTCACGTGTATGAAAGAGGAATGTGAAATTAAAGGTCTCCGTTTGAATGCTAACAAAACTAAGGTTCTGGTATTTAAGGACGAAGAGAGAACGAAATGTGAAATATGGGTAAATCAGGAACGTCTAGAACAGGTAAATGAAATTGTATACTTGGGGAGTGCTTTCAGCCGGGATGGATGATGTGATTTAGATGTGGATAGGCGCGTCGCTGCCGGAAACAAAGTCAATGGTGCCCTGAATGCATTAATCAAAAGGCAAGGCGTGGTGAAGAGTGCACGCCTTGCAATACATAACGCAGTGTTGGTACCGACTTTGTTATATGGCAGCGAAACGTGGGTATGCCAGAAGAAGCATAAAAGCAAGTTGAATGCAGTGGAGATGCGATCTCTTCGTAAAATGTGTGGCGTTACCATAGCCGATCGAAAGCGAAACGAAGAGATTCGCACTATGGCAGGATTGAAAGATGACCTTATCACAAAAATTGATAGGGGCGTACTCCAACGGTTTGGGCACGTTGAGCGAATGAGTGAAGACCGAATGGTGAAGAAAATATATAGAGCGAAAGTAAATATTAAAAGGTGTCGAGGTAGACCGAGACTAACTTTCGAAGACCATGTGAGCAAATTGCTCGAAGAGGGGGAAGGTCATGAGTACTCGGATACCTAGACGTGCATGTATGAAGAAGTTAATGAACCTGAAAGAAGCGAAAGAGGTATGTAAGGATCGTGACACTTGGCGATCTGTTCTCTCTGGCTACCCCGTTAGGGATTGTGCGTGAAGATAATCATTGTTTACTAATAATTCGTTTTTCACTGCACAACTTAAAACTTAATTTTGCCACTTCACTGTCACCTGACATTGACCTTTGAATAACCTTTAATTGAATAATTATAATGGATTTGCTTAAGAAGTCAATTGAAGAGCTAACGCTGAATTTCACTTCTCGTATGGATGAGTTCCAGAGGGAGTTCAGAACATCCATCCCTGCAACAAGCCCTTCTTCCAACATTAATGCAGAATTTAACGCCTTTAGGGGATTTGTTTAGACAGCACTAGAAAATTTACAACTTCAGCTCCAGCTTCTCTCTAGGAATCAAGATGAAATGGAGGTAAGGACCAGGAGGAAGATGTTGCTTGTGCATGTTATGCCTGAAGCCCGAGATGAAATCCCAGTTCATTGCACGAGTAAGATATCGGAGCGATTGAATATCCCTGAAATAACTGTGAGCTCTATCACTAGATGCCATCGCTTAGGGCAATCCCGTGGCGACAAGCCTCGTGCGCTGCTTGTGAAGTTTCGAGATCAGGATCTCCGTGACAAAGTCTGGCTTTCTAAAACCAAGTTAAAGAATAGTGGAGTTACTCAATCCGAGTTCATGACTAAGGGCCGTCATGAGGCGTTCGTTGCTGCTCGGAGTTTGTCGTGGTACTTGGGTCCGATGGCACTAAGCACCGGGTGTACACCGTGGCTGAGGTTATCGCCATTCCTGATGCAGCATGTGGTGTTCCTACTACCTCATCTTTGCCTGCGACGACGGCGGCGACGACAGCGGCGGCGGCATCTTCTGCTCCTAAGCCCTGTGTTACTACTGCTAGGGCTAGGAAGACGACAAAAAAATGAAGGTGGCGTGTTTTTCTTGTAGTTTGGCTTTTACTCATGTACTCCAGCAGCTAAATTCATATATTTTTTGTAACTGTTGGTTATCAAGTATTAATTTAGTATTCTTTGCCATATTGATCAAAGGTTAGAATAAAAAAATGCGCGAATTGAACTTCTTTTTTATTGTAGTAATCGCGACACTTCTTAGTTGAAATAAAAATAATTAGATATAAAGGTTAAAATATGGAATATGTCAACAAACGTTTTTATATTTTTACGATATTTCGAGCAAAAACTAAACACATCGCATAACTGTTCCACCCTCATACTTTGCGGGTCGCAAATAATGGAAGAAGTTTGATTATGAAGTGGAGCACTTAAAATTTTTTTTCGTGTTGTCCTATTTTTATGTATTACATAGTTGGTACACATTTTAAATATTCATGGAATACAAATTACGAGGTTGCTTTTTTTTATAGACTTTAAGTTTGTATTTTGTTCTAGGTCGAAAACGATATGGAAAACTACGTGAAGTACAAACTAGTTGGTGGTCCCCTCAAACTTAAAAAAGATGTTTTGCCTCACAAGTTTGCTTGTCAAAAATCGGTGTACAGAAAAACCACAAAGATGTGTACTATCAAAACTAAATGCCAAATCTAGGTCAGAAACAGTTGCACATGCGATTGCCACTACTTCACAAGAAATTGAGCATATATATGTTATCGATCCTTTTATTACTCTAGATCAGCGGTCGGCAACGCGCGGCCCGCGGGCCGCATGCGGCTGACGTTCTACTTGCGGCCCGTGAATGTTATGTAAATAAATCCTAATAATATCAAAATAGATGCATAAACGAACCACAAACATATAGCGTATCGTATAGCTATAGTCAATATTGTATAACGCGCTTCGCTCTGCCCGCGGATGAAATGTGCATATATCAGAGATTAGTTTTTTTTTTACCTTGAAGCCTGACATTTAGCGTATTTAACATAACTGTAACATTAAAAGTATTATGTTATAGCAAACATTATAAGTGTAAAATAAATAGGAATCTCGGCCTATCTGTCCACCGCGCGCGAACCCCGCACAACCGTATAGTAGTGTGGAACCCGCTTCGCTTGGCTCGCGAATGAACAATAATTAATGAACGACGCGCGGGAGGGGCGCGGGCGGAACACACGAACGTTAGTGAGGACAGTTGCTTTCCGCTCTCCGTCAATTACCTACTTTGATGCGTGATTAGTGAAACAATTTCATTTGTTGCGTTTTTGTTTTGATTTCGGCAAGTGTGAGATTACTTTTTATTATACACTTTTGATAGGTACCGATCTACGTAAGCTTGGTCTGGTAATAATGCTTTTATTGTTACAGTTGATAATGGCTTCTAAAAAAAAGGAAGTTAGCAGAAGAAAATAGGGTATTTAACGATGCATGGACAGATTTATACTTTTTTATTAATTGCAATGGCAAACCGCTATGCTTAATATGCCAAAAAACCCTTACTATACAAAAAGAATATAATGTCAAACGCCACTATGATAGCGAGCATAAAGCTAAATTTGCATGCGTAGTGGGTGAATCACGAAAAAATAAAATTAACGCACTGAAATCTTCAGTTAAGAATCAACAAAATGTTTTTAAGGTTCAAGTACAAAGTAACGAGTCGAATATACGTGCAAGTTTAAGGGTAGCGGAAATTCTTGCGAAGTCTGGCCGACCATTTACCGACAGCGAACTTATAAAACAATGTGCTTTAGTCATGGCTGAGGAGGTGTGCCCCGACCTAAAAAAAAATTTGAAAATATAAGTCTTTCTGCAAGAACGTGTACCCGGCGAACTGAAGATTTGGACGATAATTTATGTCAGCAACTCCGGGAAAAAGCACAACAATTTGAATGGTTCTCTTTAGCTATCGATGAAAGTAATGATGTTACTGATACTGCCCAGCTTTTAATATTTGTTCGCGGAATCGATAAGAACTTTAATGTCTATGAGGAGCTTTTACATTTATGTAGTTTGAAGGGCACGACTACCGGAGAAGATTTGTTTTGTAACTTAGAACAAGCGCTAGTATCAATGCAATTACCATGGGAAAAATTGGTAAGTGTTACAACTGACGGAGGCAGGAACATGAGTGGACAAAATAAGGGTTTGGTAGGTAGAATCAAATCGAAACTGGCAGAGATAGGATGTGCCATCCCATTATTTTTCCATTGCACCATCCACCAAGAAGCGTTATGTTCCAAGGTCGTATCATGGAAAGAAGTAATGGACATCGTGGTATCGACTGTAAACTACATCAGAAAAAATGGATTGACTCATCGTCAATTTCAACAGTTTCTGTCAGATACGGAAGCAAATCATCGAGATGTTGTTTATTATTCTGAAGTGCGATGGTTAAGTAGAGGCGCAGTGCTAAAAAGATTTTTTGATCTCAGAAAAGAAATCAATACTTTTATGAATGAAAAAGGCAAATCTATTCCAGAGCTGACAGACACTCAATGGTTAATAGACCTTGGATTTTTGACAGATGTAACTCATGAATTAAATACGCTAAATGTGAGGCTTCAAGGTAAAAAAAAACTAATTTCTGATATGTACACAGACGTAAAAGCATTTCAAATGAAAATTAAACTCTTTATAAAACATATTGACGAAAAAAAGTTGGATCATTTTCCGAATTGTAAAGAGGCTGTTGAGGAAGCTGGAATTAATTTTCATTGGAAAATTGATAAAATGAAGGATATTTTAATACAACTGCAATATCAATTCAGCGACAGATTTGGTGATTTTGAAAAAGTTTCGAGTAAACTGAAGGTGTTTGCAAACCCTTTTTCATGTGATATTGAGGAAGTACCGAGTAATTTACAAATGAACATGATTGATCTCCAGTCCAATGATGTTCTTAAAAGCACTTTCTATGAACTCAAAGATCTTGTTAAGTTTTATGGTAGCTTGCCTTCTGATTTTGACGAATTGAAAAAGTTTGCTCAGCAGTTCATTACAATTTTTGGTAGCACTTATTTATGCGAACAAACTTTTTCAATTGTCAATTACAGAAAAAATAAATGTGCATCTCGTCTCACAGATGAGCATTTGAGAGCCATTCTACGAATTGCAACTACAAATATGACAGCTAACATACAAGAAATAGCCTCCCAAATACAACCTCAGACATCACACTGAAAGTGTATTAGTAATTTTGTAGTTTTAATTTCTATTTTAATTCCGTTATTTTATAGCTATAAACGTAATGTAATTACATGTAGGAATTAAATTCCGTATGTTTTAACAATTTGAATGGCATTTTCATTTTTTCTATGGGATTTGATGAATAAATAAGTGTGTAAATCACAAGTGCGGCCCGCCTTTAGTTTATTTTGCCACCTAGTGGCCCTTGCCCGCCAAAAGGTTGCCGACCGCTGCTCTAGATGATAATATTAACAGTGATCCCTTGCCAGAAGAATATATTACTAACAACCATGATACTCCCGCTACACAAAACAAAAAAATTCAAGTAAACCTAAAAACAAAGTTTCACATAAAAGTACAGAAACCAAAGATACTCGTAAATATGCTCGGCCAGTACAAGGGAAAGAGATACTTCTTCAATTTGATGTAATAAGTTCTTCAAGCTACGAAGAAAAATCTTCACTTTCTAGAGAAACTTGCAATTTGATCTGCGTAGATGACACTGAATCAGAGTGCGAATTCTAAAATGTTTCTTTTAAAATATACATGGAAAAAACTGCTCTTCTGTGCGTGTCCAGAGAACCGCAGTTACTTTTAGGTCTTCCAAAAAAGTAGTATCGTACTATTCAACTATTGAGGGAGTCTTGCAAATGCTCTCCTACAGACGTAATGATAGTTTTAAAGAAAATAAGATTGTACCATTCCAACGCTTTACTAGGACTTGATTTTGGCATATCTATTGTTGCTATTGGAAACATTTTTTAAAAAAGGTTGCCGAATATTTTTTCTTCATGTATGAAAAAGCTTATATTCTTTCCAAAACCATCCCAAGTAGTAACATTGCTGCCTATTCCTTTTCGAAAAATATACAGCGATGTTCAGAGCATCATAGATTGCTTAGAGATTCAAATTGAAAAACCCACTTATGCAGTTAAACAAGCTCTTACTTGGCCAGAGTACAAATCATGCAACACATTTAAATATTTAATATCCATTACTCCAGAAGGGAGAATAAATTTTATTTCAGAAGGATATGGTGGACGAGCATCTGACTCGGTTATATTTGAAGTCTCCAAATACTCAAGGTCGAGAAGTTCACACTTCAATTTTTGGGTTTCAAGATACTGTATACGTGTACTGTGGTGTCTTACGTCCCAAACAAAAAGAAAGTAGTTCTCTTAGCATCGAGTGTGCACCATGACGGCAAAAAAGATCCCGGAGAAGAAAGAAAGCCCGAAATTATAATAGACTACGACGCGAAAAACTGTGGTGTCGATGTTGTGAATGAAATGTGTGCTACCTACTCAGTTGTACGGACAATCAGAAGATGGCCGTTAATAGTTTTTATGGGCTTTTGAACATAGGCGACATTAATGCGTATGTTATTGTAAAAGCAAATAAAGAAAATAATGAAGCTGTGATGGCTAAGAGAAGAATCGCCCTGAAAGACCTAGCTTTGGGACTTGTGATGCCACAAATAAAAAGGAGGATCACAGTTCACAATTTGTCACCATATATAAAATTAAAAATAAAGTTTATCCTTAGTGCCAACTCGAATGAGGAAACCCCATTCGAGAATTTAACCGATTCGCGAACCTCGCTTCTCGCTGTGCAGTATGTGAATGGAAAAAGGACCGAAAAACGAAAATGATCTGTGAATTAAGCTACAAAAATGTTTAAAAGAGCATACGACTCCAATCTGTGGCGAGTGTTTTGATAAAGTAATTTTGATTGGCGCTGATATTTTGAAGCAAGCTACTTGATGATGATTTTCTCAAACTTCGCTTATTAAAATAGTATAATTATTTTGTGTTCATTTGGTAAGGCAGTATATCTATTTTGGATATAGATCTCAATTTCGCAGGATCCTAAGAAAAAAAAAATGTTTTTGTTGTTTTTGTTAAAAATACAAAGATTTTTTGAAGTTTTTGTTATTAATTAATAATTAGGTCTCATTTAAAATAAAAGATGAGTACAACTTGCATTTGTAGATTTATCCATAAAACACAGTGTAAATAAAGTTAATACATGAACAAAATTTAAAATGTTACGAATTTCTTTAAATAATGTCAAACTAATTCTGTGGTATTTTTTACCCAGTGGCGAGTATCCGTGTCTGTAATTACCTAGCGAATACCGCCGGGTTAAATATGGCATATATTTAACCCGGCGGTTGTCGATGGCATCTCATTTCTTTTTGTAGATAGTCTTACTTTTTTTCCTTTCGGTACCTTCTACTTCTTGAATGCCAACAACGTACCTATCTGCACCATTTATACATATACAGGTACACTGATTCATTCACTGCAATTGTAACTTTATAATCCTATATATTTATATGGGATTACAAAGTCATTTATGCAGTCGGTGTATCTAGAAAACTGGACCGAAATTGAAAAATATTTTAGTTTTAGTTTTTCCTTAATTTATACACTAAACCCTAATTATATTAAAAATTTAAAGCTTCTAAATTGGAAGCTTCTGTCTGCTAGAAGTGCCTTTGAGTTTTGATGATCAGTCAGTCAGTGAGTGACAAAATTAAGAAACTTTGACTAGTTATAATTATTAAACAACTAGTTGAAATTGAATGAAATTTGACATATGCCATGTTTATACAATGCCTGCTTGGTATCTGAAAATTCAGGTTCCTAGTTTTATTCACAACGGAGTTGTAGGGGGGTTCGTTATGGCCGGAACTACCTCGAAAAAATTATGGTACGGCCGTGCCACTTTTTTACTCGACTGGAAAACTGCCGTGCTCCCAGATCATTAGCCCGCTTCAAGGTAAAGCGAAAATTGCTTGTTCCATAAAAGAATTTAAAGATTGGTAACAGCTCAAAGACTATGCTCACATTCTCACCGAATTACAAGAGAGCAAGCAAAGTCCACATGATAATGTTAACCAATTCGCACTCTGCATAGAAACCTGTCTTTCACAATGATTAACACAAATATCCTTATGTAATATTAAAGCGAAAGAATTACCAGGTCTGGTGGCGGCCATGGAGGATCTTGCCCTCATTGCATTTCCTTATGGGGTTACATCCCCGCATTTCAAATATAGTTACGTGTAGATCTCCTAAGAACCTTAATGAAGCCATAAATTTCATCGTCTCGGAAGAACGCATTGAACAAAGCCTATATAAACGACCACAGTCAGAAGCAAAATACGAACGAAAACCTAAGAAAATTTTTGTTAAACCTTTTAATTGTGAACCAATTATTCCTCAAAAATATTCAAAGTACCCTAATATTAATCAACAGAACTCGCCTAACGCTTTGCCGATATTGTAAGACGGCGGGGCATGATATTATGGCATATCAAAAACGGGAATATTTCAATAACTGATTCAGGAATCAAAATCATTCGTCAACCTCCCAATTCCAGTATAGGCCACACCACGAGTTAATTTCATAGAGCAGCCCAATGAAGAGGTTTACCAAGAGGAATTCTATCCTTCGCGTAATGATGATCAGCCTTAAAATGATCAAGAGTCTCGTCACGGTGTCGCCCGCGATTAAATCCGAAAGCCGACACCAACCATTCCTTCCTTAATTCCAAGGGCCACACGGGTAACCAGCTCCAAGCAAGCGTCCAACAATCCACGGACCACATGGGTAACCAGCCCGAAGCAAGTAACCGTCAATCTAAGGACCACATGTGTAACCAGCCCCAAGTAAGTGTCCGATATCCCAAGGACCACAAGGGTAACCAACCAGAAGTGAAAGTGAAGTGTCAAGCCATACAAAACTCATTCTTTGAAAGCTCTCTCTCCAATAAGCAAAATCGAAATTTACGAAATAAATTTAGATACTACTAAAAGGTTTTTACCACAGGTCCTGCTCGATTCATCCGTCACGGATATTCCACTGTCTTTGCTTGTTGATTCAGCGTCTGCCATAAGTCTACTAAAACAGTCTAGTGTCCAGAAGAATCTTAAACACATAAAAGAACCTATCAAACTTAAGGGCATAAACCCAAACGATGAACCGACAACTACCGAGGGCCATTTTTCGTTAAAATTAAAATTAAATAAAGCTACATCCGCGTCATATAAATTCCACGTCATAAAAAATATCAAGTTACCATATGACGGTATCATAGGCTCAGACTTTCTAACCACGTTTGGTTGTATAATAGACGACACAAATGATACCCTCAAGATCGGTAAATTAGAAATAAAATAACATTTCGTTGATCCATTCTATATTACTACACCACGCCCCTAAACTGTCACTCAATGTTCGGTTTGCGATAGTAATCTTAAAGAAAGCCTTATTACTGACCAACACATATCATAAAATTAACTTAAATCCAATTGTATCAAAAAATCAAAGAAAATTAACGCGTCAATTTAACTATAGCCAATAATTCAGAGTTTCCTGTCAACCTAGAACCAAATTTAAATCTTAAAGTTACACTTATACATTCTGACGCAGTTCAGGTGAACACAAACTACTCTAACACAACTTAAAGAACAAATGACGTAATAAACTCATTGAGAATAGAGCATTTAAACCAAGAAAAGTCCAATGCCTTCATTGAACTTTGTTCCAGTTATTCCGACATTTTTCATCTGTCCGATGATAAATTAACGTAAACATCTGCCCTTAACCATCAATTTAAAACAAAATGCAAGACGCCCATCCATCCATACTAAAACGTATAGGTTCCCAGAATGTCATAAAAAGGAAGTCGAGACCCAAATCAATAAGATGCTCGAACAGAGAATAATAGAACCCTCATCTTCACCTTGGAGCTCACCAATTTGGATCGTGCCTAAAAATTTAGATTCCAAGGGACAACGTAAATGGCGCATAGTAATTGGCTATTGCAAACTTAACGATATTACTATTGATGAAACTTATTCTATTCTACAAATTTCCGAAATCCTAGACCAGCTGGGCAACAGCAAATATTTCACAACTTTAGACTTAGCTTCCGGGTTTCATCAATGGACAATACGACAAAAAATAAATTGTTAAAATAAAAAAATACCAGTTCTAGATTAACCTCTGGAGAATTCAGGAAAAATACTTTGAAATTTTTTAAAATAATATTTTTGGAGATAAATATCAAAAATTAAAAAAAAACGTCGGTTACGTCACACCACGGCAAGAATGTGAAATATTTCTTTTGCTCGCGTCGTCCCCGAGTAAAAAAGTATAATTCCATCAAACATCACTGTCAAACTACGCTTCTGTTGCATTGCATTGCATCTCGTTACCGTTTTTTTTTCAAGTTTGTTTGTGTGAATTTAACGAATACAATCACTTATAAATAAAAAAGATAAATTAAAATGGATAGCAAGGAAGAATCTGGGAAGCCGATGAAGTTTCTGTATTGTTTCGTCACAACTTGCAAAAATAGTTCGACAAAGATTCCCAACCGAATGTTTTTTAAGGTTCCTTTTTATTACCGAAAAGCTTGGTTTAAAGCAGTAGGTTTTGGACATATGTGAGGATCACATTAATGTAAGTCAGATCTATATCAGATAATATAATGTGATAGGGGACAATGAGCTTTGGGTTATATACCTATATGTATTTCATGGAAACTTGGGAAATATAATCCTCGGCTAAACTTCAGTACCGGAAAAATTACATTCCATGAAATTATATGAACCTAATGTCTTTCCAGTTACTCTTGTAGAACACAATGTACCTGGATGTTCAAGACAGACATTTTCAGAAGAAAAAGCTGCACAATGTGATGTAAGTCTGAAGCATTCTAGCACACAAGTAGAAATGTCTATGGTTGACCAAGCAGTAAATACAGTTAGAAAGAAACAAGGACATTTACATGTCAAGTAGAAGATATTATGTCTGAAGAAGAATATTTGCCTTCTACACCTGGAAGTATTTTGGAAATATCAGGGCAAGAAACAAATACTGATTCTACATTATAAGAATACGGTGTGTTGTGTTGATTTAAAAAAAAATTAGAAAGCTCTACTGATGTTTGTTTGATATTTGGGTGTTCCCAGAAACTACTTTTGGTTAATTGATTACATTTGTAATGATACAAAAACGCCAGCAGTACATATTTTAACATCATCATCATCATAATTACAGCCCTTCATAAGTCCACTGAACATAGGCCTCCCCCAAGTAATGCCACAAAGCACGTTCCTGAGCCACCTGCATCCATCGACTTCCTGCATGTCTTACCAGGTCGTCACTCCATCTAGTGGGGGGTCGCCGTACACTACGCCTACCGGTACGAGGCTGCCACTCGAGAATTTTTCTTCCCCATCGGTTATCGGTTCTACGAGCTATATGGCCGGCCCATTGCCACTTCAGCTTACTAATCCGTTGAGCTATGTCGGTCACTCTGGTTTTACTGCGGATATCCTCATTTTTGAGTCTATCACGCAGAGAAACTCCGAGCATAGCCCTCTCCATAGCTCGCTGAGCGACCTTGAGCGTCCTCATACGGCCAGCAGTGAAGGACCACGTCTCAGATCCGTAAGTCATCACTGGCAACACGCGCTGGTTGTACAATCTAGTTTTTAGAGATTGAGGTATACCTGACGAGAAGATATGTCGTAATTTCCCGAACGCTACCCAACCGAGTAGAATCCGTCGATTGACCTCTCGGTCGAAGTTGGAGTTACCTAGTCGGACTATTTGTTTTTTATTTTTACTATTTTAACAGTGCTCTTTAAATTATAACATGGTGATCCATTTTATAAGATAGATGATTTGAGAGAGAACACTCCAAAGAATTTTCCATAGGGTTTGAGATATGATTTTCACAATATGTACACAATTTAATTACTGGCCTTCTGTCATTGATATTAAAAAAATTGCCACTTTCTTTTAGAACGAATAAAGACTATTCTAATTTACAGAGCATTATAGATTGTTTTGAGATAGAAATAGAAAAACCAAACAAACTTGTAGAACAATCAGCTAAATGGTCGCAGTACAAAAACTGCAACACCATAAAATATTTAATAAGTGCCACCTGATGGTTTCATAAACTTTATATCTAAAGGATACGCTGGGAGAATCACAGATGTTAAATTCCCACTTAAAAATTAATAATTTGATTTTAACTTTAGATTTTGTCGATTTTGATTTCTGTTATTTGATGTTGGAGCGAGATACAACGTAACGAGCCTCCACTTAACCAAACTACTTGCCTAAGTGGAGGCTCGTTACGTAAAAAGTCTCGCGCATCAAGACTAAATTTTAATAGTAATTAGTGTCCTAATTTTTTATGGCATTACACGTCCGGGGATTTTATTTTTGAACAGGGAGTTCAAAAGTATGGATATTGATATTGTATTATTTTTTATGTTTATTTAACTGGTTTTACGGCTCCGGAGTCTAGCCCTTCTGAGCATATCATATCTTTCGGAATCTTCATTTTTATATATTTTTTCTTCACAATATGCTGATGAGTCACATTGCGAAGTTCTTAGGAGATTTTGACGACAGCTCAATCGCTCCATGCTCCATTTAAAACATTACCCATACGGTTTTAAAAATATATAAAATTGAAGATTCCGAAAGACTAGAACCCAGAACCGTAAAACCAGTTAAATAAAAAAATCTTATAAATGACGTTCAAAGTGCATCTGACCTTTGTGCTAACCACGCACTATCTTTGTTCTAACAAATATAACTGTCTGTGTGTCTGTGTTTTGAGAGTTGAGATTAGTTAGTTTTTGAATTATGTGTTGAGAAGTAAAACTTGTTAGTATTTTGTGAACTTTTTCCTGTATATTTAATTGTGCAAATACGTCGAGTCGTGGAGTCGACCGATTGACACCGTCATTGTTGTTCATTTTTGATACCCAGAAACCTACCTATACATTAATTGGAACAAGCATCTACTTCAATGATTAATTTGTTACAGTCGTGGATAACTCCTACTCAGGTAAGCAGATCTTATTTTACTCTTTGAATATATACCTAAGAATGTCAGATCTCTACCATCGTACCGTCTTACAAAACATTTTTATAGAATGAAAGAAATATTTATTTTAGACAGCACAGACAATAACAAATGATTATAACCAAAAACGAACCTGTTTGAGGCCAATAAAGGCTTTACTCTTGATTGCATATCTAAATGTAACTTCTGTGAATATGTTACAGAAAACAGACAGAAAGGTTAAAAACACACTTTTTAATTCATGTTTCTTATTGCAGTTGTCTTCAGAATGTGTGCTTTGTACTGAGTGTTTGACACTGCTTCAAGATCAAGCAAACACAATTAGTGAAGGATTGCCTGCTTTTGGTCATAGAAGTATATGTTTTACTTGTGGCAACTCTATTCTACGTGCAACTAGAACACATATCCTGTAAGAATACCATCGTGAAATAGCAGCTTAATGCTGATGTGTTTCGTATAGTGGGTGTAAAGAACCAGAGATCCTTTTTACTGGGAACAAGGCATTCCATCGTAGTCCTCAGGGGTGACAATGCATCTGCATTTTGATTTGTAATCGAGAATAGATATAGATGTCTATGGGCCACAGCAAATACTAATTACTATCAGGTGGACTTTATGCTCGTTTGTCACCCTATTTTATAAAAAAATGTATCCCTAACATTTACATCACTTTACAATACACACTTTTATCAAGTTTATATCCCATTGTGAAATGTTTCATATTACATGTTTAATTGTGTTATTTTTAGATATCAAGATTGGAAAGAGTTTGTGCTGCTTGCTGGAGATCAGCTACAAGAGAATTGCAACGTAGTGATCAGCACGACTCCAATCGCCCTGGTCTGTCAGAAGCTATTTTGCCTGATGTTGGATCAAGTAGCGATCTCAATATTCCTGAGCCGCCCCCTCTTCCAAAACAAAACCTACACACTACTCATGTTAGATCAAATCCAACAATTAGGTCTTCTGTGTATAAGCGTCACCACCTGGATCATGGCCGTTGGAGCGAATTAACTTCTCAGCTAAAAGATTTTACTTGTAGTCAATTCGACTCAATTATGAGAATAATGCAGCGAGCTGCCTATTACACATACATACATACATACATAAACACTCACGCCTGTCACCCAGAGGGGTAGGCAGAGACTACGGACTTCCATTTGGCACGATCCTGACATACCTCTTTCGCCTCCTTTACATCCATATATCTACGCATACATGCTCGTCGGTTAAGGGTACTTCTAACGTGGCCCATTTTCAAAATATCGCCAATTTGGTCGATAAACTATTACCATATATATAGATTTCTAAAATATTTTAATTATGCCTACATATTTGTGTCACTTTTGGTTAGGCATGAACTCGGATCAGTTTTATGATTTGTTAAACTGTATCCCAAGTCTAACAGGACAACTATCAAATGCCACGGTTGCTTTAAGCATTTACTTAGTAAAGCTTAGAACTGGTGATAGTAATGAAAGGTTGGCAACTCTCTTTAATAAATCTCGTGTCACCTTAGAACGCTTAATGAATTAAGGACATTGTTGAACCAGAACATGTTTAATTAATGATTTTGTTCCATTTTATTTAGGATTTAATCATATGAATGTTGAAGATGTTGCTACTATAAATAAAATAATACCAGGAGGATTATTTGGTAATACCGATTTGCCACCTAATTCTAAACCAGCAATAGTCACATGTGATGCTACTTATGTGTTTATCCAAAGTAGTTCTAATTACTTATTTCAAAAACAAACATACAGTTTGCAAAAACTGGACAATTTGGTCAAACCATTTATGATAGTGTGTTGTGATGGTCATATTGTGGATTGTCTCGGACCATACAAGGCGACAACTAATGATGCTACAATTACAAGTAAACTTGTAACTTACGTAATGAGGAAGCTTCTTTAAGATTATTTTTCCGAAGAGGTGACGTTTTCATACTTGATAGAGGATTTAGGGATGTAATTAATAAACTCCAGGGATATGGCTTTGTAACACATATGCAAGAGGCTCTACTTGAGAATGAACATCAATTAACAACCCAGTAGGCAAATCAGTCTCGTTTTGTTACTATGTGCCGCTGGGTTGTAGAAGTGGTTAATGGTAGGTTAAAAAGGGATTTTAGACTCTTTCGTCATGTTTTTAAAGGATGATTTTAGAATCTCATGTGCCCTAATTAATAAGTTTCATATTGTTATAGAAGACCCACCCGAAGCCATGGAATATGTAAGAATTGCTAAGGATAGGCTTTCACTAGAGAACGAGTGTGAATTTTCAGTTGATGACAGCAATAATCCACATTTAGGTGGATTTCCACAATTGACAATAACTGATTTAAAACGGTTAGCTCTTGGGACTTACCAACTCAAGCAGGCTAGATCTTATTATGGGGAATAAATCCTTCGTACTGTTATTTATTCAGTTGAGGTGAATAATACTATCGATGATGATGTACCTTTGATTTTGGGGCTTAATAATTACCTCTTAAGAGGTAAGATTAAATCTAGACATGTCAACAGTCGTCTTTATCACACATATTTATTTATTAGCAGAGATGATGCTGTGGCCAACACTTTAGAAACCATAGCAGGTTATTGCTGCAGCTGCCTTGTCGGTAAGCGAACAGTAGGGTCCTGTGCTCATATAATGACGATAGTGTGGTATTTGAGCTGGGATCGGTATAATGACGTAACTGTGCCGGGAACGGCTTTAGATGATTTTTTTCAGGAGTATGATGAATGATTAAAGTAATGGTGGAAAATGGGAAATGGACTGTAATTTGCATAGACGCTGGCGGATTCTACTCTACACCGTTGATTAGACAATATAACTAAGGTCGGACGTACCTGAATATACGAAGGCGGATGCTCCTGCTCTCGTGTGCTTCTTCGGGGATCCCAGCTACACGGATTTCGGCCACTCACGATGATCCAATTTGGGGAAGAACTTGCGGTAGAACATATATTTGGTAGCAGCGAAAAACGTGCCCTTTTCTCACGACGCGCGGCGTTGACATTATGTCGATCACGTGACGAAAAGATGTCCATAATTTTAACGGACCAATAGTAAGCAAGAATCACATCGACCCGCGAAATACACGGACATACAAACCAAAGTAACATTGGTGCAACAGTTGCGAGTATTCAGAGCAAATATACAAACAAATTTCGGCTGTTTATTAAACTAGCCGAACCAGGAATGGTTCGGCTAGTTGAAAGTCTTGAAAGGGAAGCTTTCAAAGGCGTAATCATCTTTATCGAGTAAATTAATTTATTCTTACTTCTATGAACCTTATTACATCATACTAAAGAATGTTTGTTAACTACTTATGTCTACTTAATGCCATTATCTTGTCTATGACTTATTATCTAGAAGCTAATCTACCATTTACCTAAATAATTTATGAATTTTACTGAGTTGGTAACGGACACTAAATTGCGTTATAACACCACTGGTCTTTGGTAACTACCGTGCTTAGTCCTTACCATTGCTACACGTATAATTGTTAGTTTACCTTTTAAAATTTTGTGTTATAATGCCTAAGGGCCAATGTAAGGGCGTGATGTTATCCTGTATTACTACAACAACCGTTCCTTACTTAACTGGGAAGGATGGTGAGTTCCACTTTTGGTGGGTCTGTGGGCTATGAAGATATTCTCTTAGCCATCGCATCCAGAATGACTGCACCAACTTGTCTAAGAGCTCATATCGAGTTAGAAGATGCGGAATCGAATCATCAATATCAGGTGCTGGCAGGAAATCAAGCGGGACGGTATGTAAAAAATAAGCTGGCGTCAAAGCTGCTGCTGGATCTGAAGGATCAGAGCTGAGCACTGTAAGTGGTCGTGAATTTAATATGGATTCAATCTGGCTTAAAACTGTTTGAAGCTCCTCAAAGGTAAGAATTTGTTGGCCGATAACCCTATATAAATGGGTTTTTATACACTTGATGTTACTTTCCCAGCAACCGCTGAAGTGTGGAGCATTAGGAGGAATCAGTTTCCATTGGATACGACTTTCTGCTAACTGCTTTTCCCACACTGGTTTATATTCAATATTTAGAAAAGCGTACAAATCTCGAAGATAAGACCGGGCACCAATAAAATTGGTTCCGTTATCGGTATAAAAACATTGAACTGATCCTCGTCTAGCTAGGAATCGTTTCATGGCTGCCAAGAAGCAAGCTGCGCTGAGATCGCTTGCGAGCTCAATATGCACCGCTCGTGTAGTAAGGCATGTAAACAGGCAGATGTAAGCCTTACGGCTTTTTATACCTTTACCACGATATGGTGTTACTAGGACTGGGCCGGCATAATCGCATCCAGTATGGACGAAGGCTTTGACAAACGCTCGCACTCGAGGTTCAGGGAGGTCTGCCATCATAGGGAACCCAGGTTGAGGCTTAGATCGAAAACATACGTTGCATATAGAGATGATGGCTCTAATTGCACGTCTAGCAGATAGTATCCAGTATTTAACACGGAGTACAGAAGATAGCAACCCTGGTTCTGTATGTAAATATTTGTCTACCACGTGATCCTTAAAAGGAAGAAGAATATGATGTTTGAAATCAAAACTCTCCTCTGAGTTTGCCAAACAGCCACCCACGCGTAATACGCCATCCTTAAGAAATGAATTTAATTTTTTAATAGATGAAGAACGACATCCCCCTTTCTCCAAACGTTGAAGGTCATCACTAAAATTTATTGACTGTATTACCTTCATATTTTCTAATTCCGTAAATTCCAAATCTGACTTAACTATGAGTCACAGGGCCAGCTTCCTTATAAACTTGTATATGTAGCTCGCCACGTTAAGGAACCGTTGCCACGAAGAGTAATTACGTGCTAGTTTATACAGAAAAGGTTCTTCGATTAGTTTTATTATTACTAGGGAAATAGACTTAAGCTCCGGCGCGTCGGAAGATTCCTTTGACACAAACGTTTTTATTGGCCATTCGACTTTATGTAAATTGGCCCAAGGAGGCCCCTGTAGCCACAGGGGGTGATTCATAAGTTGTGTAGGTGTTAATCCACGGGACAAACAATCGCACGGGTTTTCGTTACCCTTGGTACGGTACCCATGGTAAAAGTGATCCAATGGTAAGTTGTCCTGAATTTTGGAGACTCTATCGGCAACAAACGTGTGCCATTGGTGCGGAGAAGAGTGAATCCAATTTAACACTACGGTCGAGTCTGAAAATGCTAACACCGAATTAATTGGGTATCTACTCGAATATATTTTAAAAACCCTTTTTAGTAATTTAGAAAGCAACAAGGCTGCACATAATTCCAGACGTGCTAATGAAACAACTTTCAAGGGCGCATGATTCCGGCGCCCCTTTGATGGGCAAGAGTGCGAAGAATCTCTGGGAGGAATACCGGTGACGAGGTTCCCCACACGTAACGTTGTCTCCCGGAGGGGCGAAAAGTGGATTGCGGAAGCCCGCCTGGCTACGCTGAATGTATGTGGAGCAATGAATGATAAGATGGATGAAGCATGTGATATGATAAGATGTGATATGATGAATGATAGAGATAGAGATATTTTCGGACCGATGCAATCAACGATTGCAATGGTTTGTTGGCAACAACTCTCCAAGAATATTACTAATTCTGCAGTTTCAAAATACTAATATTCGTCCATTACATTCGATATCAATGTATGTGAAACAATAGTCGTCGTCTGCTATAGCCAGAAATACTTATAACTATAATAGTAACTTCCAACTTCGAAAGGGGCTTTTATCACCACTTGCATGCTGTCGATATCTTCACAGCACCCAGGAAAATTACATTTGTATTTGTAAACATGTACAATTTTTTTTCCTTTTATCATGACTTGGAACCTGTAGAAAAATATTATATTTAGTAAACCTTTTTTTAGGTAGTACCTGAATTAGAAGACACAGTAACGGTTACATCTACTATATATGATTCAAGTTCCTCTAATATTTCTATACAACCATCATCAGCACCTGTGCACTCCCGTAAAAGTAATGTACGCTGCTTAGAATATATAATTTCTAAAGTGAAATCCGTCATTGACAGAATAAATCAGCCTATAGGTTCGACATCAAAGGAAACAATATTCAATATTTATGTAAAAAGTATAGCAGCACAGTTAAATTCGTTGGCAATGGTATTAGCTTTACAAGTACAGTGCCATATCAATAATTATCTTAATAATTTGCGAATTAAGCAATTGACAAATTCTTTAAAGAAAAACAACCATACTCCTCTTCCAACTACGACATACATATCATCGCCCTCGCCGAATGATTTTCACTGTCAGCGAATTACTGACTCTCCAATACAACACCTACCAGCCATACCCGATTTTCACACGCAATAAGTTAATACCAAGTACATCGAAATGCCTAACATGCAACAGATTCTTCCAATGATGTTTATGTATTAATAAATGAACCATCAATATCTGAATATTCAGATATTTTGATGAAAGCTCTGTCAACTATTAAATTAAGAATATGCTTAAATTATTAGGACTTTGATTATTAAATTGAAAAGAATTATTAGTAAATATTTCGTATAAATAATATATAGTTGTCTATTTTCGTACCTTTATGTGTTCCTTCAAGGTTTCATAAATTCAGAACTCAACATACTTCAGAAATCATGTTAAATATGCTAGCTTTGGATAATAATCTATATAAGTGATTCAGGGGCCCAGAGACCCGCATCCAGTGATCAACGTATACAATACGACTTGCAAATTTATTTTATATGGTAATGCACATCTTATTAAAGTATCTTTTTTCTGAATTTTAGGCCCAACTTGACTCAGTAGAAATAAAAATACTTGAGATAATTGTGGTTAATATAGCACATAGCGCCATATTATAGCGCGCTATCTCTCCATAACACATAGTGCGTGCTATGTAAGTAGTCGGCATGACGCTATTGCGCTATGGCGCTTTGGTGCTATTCAGTATTAATATCTAGCGGCAACTAGTTCTAGCAGCAGCGCTGTTAGGAGAGGACGTGTGACGCAAATTTGATCTAGTAGCACGCTATTCATCGCGCGCGCACATTTAGTGTTAGACGTTGTTTAGTTAGTGTGTACTGTATATTTGCAAGTGATCGAAGGACATAGTTGTCTGCTATAAAAGAAGCCTAACTAATGTTTTAAAATGTAAATAAAATATGGATACAACAATGAATTTAATAGTGTATGTAAATAGTTGATTTTTAGAAATACAATCAATCAACTTTTAAATACACAGTTATTTAATTTTATAATTTATAAGGTTAAAATAACGTTTACATCAATTATAATAAAAAATAATTTATTTTATTTCGTTTTAAAAAGTACATGCTTTAAAAATATTTTTAGGGTTATATTTTTTTATATAAAAGAAGGGGCAAACGAGCATG